ACCCCCGTGTGGTTGTAAGGAGCACCGTATAATTAATTTTTAAGAGTTTGTAATAGTGTTAATTGTTTTCTACTTTAAAAATTAATTATCAAAGAACAAGTTTCGCGATATAAGTACAACGCTGAACATAGGAACCATAAAAATAATTGAAGCAGCAATGAAAAACTGTCGGCAATAAATACACAAAACTTTCGTTCCGCAAAACGTGAAAATTTATTCTTTGTAATAACAATTGGTTCGTCATAGTTATGACCATGGATTTTTCATTTGGAAATTCTTTCAACCGTAAGCATAAAAATTATTTTACAATTTGTATACTAAAAATAATCTCAGATTAACCTTCGAAACGTATATCGACACCGATAAACGGCGTCCACAATTGTTTACTTGTTAATATTAATTTTTTTATATGTAATAATTGTTTTTAATGATTTAATTTAATTTAATTGTAAAGGAAAATCTTACAGTTCGATTCGATTTGAAATAATACGTATTTAAAATATTAAATGCACAATATATTCATTTAATACAAATTTTTATTTGACTTTGAATTGTATTTAATGTAAGAAACATTTGATAGTAAATTATTGCTATACAACATTTAATTGTTTACTAAATTTACTTACTACATAAAGAAACAAAATGAACTAATAATAATTACATTTTATCCAATGCACAGTTAGTTTTAATTTTTCAAAAGATTTCACTTTTTTAAGAAAATAAATACGAAATTTCCTCTGTAGTGTATCTGGCTCAAAAGCGAAAACTGTTTTTCTAGAAATAACGCGTTCTATAATTGTATTTTTCTTTCATTGTTAAGAATTACTTGATACAATTTTATAATTGCATTATAAAATAGTTGTACACTTGAAAACAAAAATAAAGAAGAGAAAATTGCATTAATCGCACTTTTAAACTGGTGTAGAGTCGTTACATCGAGCAACTTGGGCAAAAGTTTTTGGTACGACAGTACCTAATCTCTGCTTTTTTCCAACTGTCTCGTACTCATGTCAGAGTAAAGTACAGCGAGGTACTTACTAGGAATGCTTTATCATTTTCGTATAAAATGTTACAAATAACGTAAGATCTTCTTTTCCCCCTTTGTTGAATAACATTTGTTATTATAATTATTGTTAACGTTATTAATTGTTACGCGTAAATGAGCAATTATTATTTAAGATTCAATTTCATGTAGATTTCAGTCTTAAAATCGCTTCTTAAAGAACTTCATCATACAACTGCATACTGCGTTTCTCACCGGTATTGTATACTTTCATATCTTATCTAGCAAATGTAACGCGATCAAATGCACCATTTAGTTTTACCCGTTTGAAAAACGATATTATTTATAGCAAGAGAAAAAAAAAACAAGTTTAATCGTTTCAGCAGTTTCCGTTGATTTATGGTAAAGAATAGAGGAACATAATTATAATCGCGCGGTACACAATGCATTACTACGAAAACCGTTAATATACAGTGGCGGACATAAGTATTGGCACAGTGTGCGATTCCATATACAAACATTTATAACTATTGAAAAAATTGCTTATACCACTTGTTTTTTTGCATCGATCTTTATTTAGAATATCGTGTTTGCCTATGTACAAAAATAAAAGAAAATTAATAAAATAGGGAATATATAACTAATAAAAATGTGTTTTACAACCATCTTATGCACGGACAAAAGTTATATGTTCCCTACTTTATTAATTTTGTTCTGTTTTTGTATATAGGCAAGTAAGACATTCTAAATACAGATCCGTACAAAAAACAATTTGTCCAAACAATTTTTTCGGTAATTATAAATGTTTGTATTCGAAAACGCATACTGCGCCAATACATACGGCCACCACTGTGTGCATTTCCGATTCTTGGTTATGAGAGATATCGTATCGGTGTTTAGATATGAGAAATCTATGGAGAGGAGAAGTAATTCTAAAACGGCATTTTCATCAAGAACAAGGAGATTACGCTTTAGACAAACATTTCACCAAAATCCTAAGTACCGGCGACAAATTTCTGGAACCGGCGTATAGCGACGTAATTCAAGAGAAGAATTTATTGCAGCCTGTGGAGAAACATTTGAAACGAATACCCGGCTCATCTTCCTTGCAGTGTTACCGACCGGGGCAAGAAATGTCATCGATCGCCGGCACTTACCAACATGAAAGCAACGAAAATCTCGACGAATATTTCAAAGCTGTGGGTATGTTGAAGGCAGCGACTAAAAATGAATGTGCTGTATCCTACGATGGAAGCAAAAACAAATATAATTTGTAACATTCGATTTTCCCGTGTAATTTTCTACGTGATAATCTTTATTTGTGAAAAATGTGAAAAAACGAACGAGATTAGTCATTGCATCGATTTATATTTTACACGATATATTAATTTATTACCGTGATATCAATTAGAAACTATACGAATTACTATTTTCATTTTGATTGATACTACAATTACAATTAATTTTTATAATTCTTTGCGTTGATAATGTACACACTGTGTTTGTTCGTTTACTGAATATTTACCTTATTAAATAAATAATTAGAAACCTGCTGTTGAATTATATTTGCCAAAGTTATTTTAATTGATACTGTTGATATTATAGAGAAATAAAACCGTACACGTGATTAGTTTTACGTTGAAAACAACAATAGCGAATCGAAATTAAATCGGTTTCGTTGTTAATAATATGCACCCATAGGTGTACCATATATTCCACGGAAAATGATGTGCATGTCCAGTCCACGACTGGAAATACTGAACGACAGTGACAAGTGGACCATTCGTACCATTTCGATGATTCGTACAGTAGAAGTGACATTTACTCTCGGTGAAGAGTATGAGGAACACATGCCAGCTGGAGTCACATTGAAAGTATTACTTCCTCCACGATACATACTACTCCAATCAGAATGTCTGATTTTTTTACAAACAAAATACTCGATACTACATGTTCTATACGTTACAGGTTGACCATACATTTTCGTTTTTAGCTAAAATACGTCATTTACATCCATATAAAACAATTATTTCAATTTTAAATTTTCAAATTTAACTTGGCAACCTTGGCTTATATTAACAGAATAAATGACACGATCGATATAGGTTTGCAAATGGTTAAAATGTGGTTTAAGTACTAAATTTTTGTACATTTAAAATAGCATGGGTATTGGTATGGAGAGAAAGGGCAACGTTCTTCACTTTTCACTCTTCGTATTTCTGTGTTTGTTTCTGTTTAGAATGTGACTACAATGGAGGGAGATAGTCTTGTGACAGTTTCAGTCGGTCCTGATAATAACAAAGTATTGCGGAAGTATGCTGTTACAGAGGACGGTGTGGTTTTGGTACGTTCCATTTGCATTTCCATTCACGCGCATTCAAGCTGCGACAGTGCTGCAAAACACTTGAGACAGTATGAACGAGGCGCGGTAAAATAGACTTTGTCATTTTTATCAACTTTTATATTACTCAGAAATTAGTTTAATTAATTGCTAGATGAATGGATTTAATTCGCTCGTATATCTTTCAATAGTTCTCAAAATTAATCGTTGCAAATTTCATTATTTTAATTATATTCGTCATATTGACTACGTTGACTATTTCTTGAAAAGCAATATATCATACCTGACACCAACATTATTAGAAAAATTTAATCGGTTAATAATTATAGCACGCTGCATGTTTTTACCATGTTACACATTGATGTAAATAGATTACTTGATTCGATCAAATTAACTGTATGTACTTATCGATCTTATTTGTTGAACTTATGGGTGTAGTTCCTAAAGGCCCCGGTCGCCGATTGTCACGAAATGTGGTAGGCCAATAGGCCGAGGATAGGTAGGCCTCAAATATAAAATATTAGCTGCAACCAATCGTTAGTTTCCGAGATATTAACAAAAAAAACTTTCAGTACTATACGTTGAAACTACGTATACAGACGTGACTAACACATTGAACGCTGCCTATACAGATGTTGCCTGATTGGCTGCAGCTAATATTTTATATTTAAGCCCCCCCCCCCATCTTCCCGCTTCCCACTAAATTTCATGTCGATCGACGACCGGGACCTTTCGGAACCATATCCGACCATTTGAACAGTTAATTAACTAGAATTATTAACATTTAACAATAGTTAAATATATTTAGCCATTTATTTTCCAAATATTATTAAGAGCTCAAATATTATTCGTTTCACAGATATTTACTTTGTAAAATATTCATTTCTAATTAGAACGACTTGGCTAAAAATAAAATTCCTGCAAATGTAAACATGCAATAACTTGAAAACAGATATTAATGTTGTATTCTCTATTTGCAGACAATGACCCATGAAAATAGTGGCCAAGTAGCGAAACGCTATTTTAAACGTCTTTCGTAAAAACCTAGTTGCGTACAATTATGTTGTCTTAAATTAACAAAAATATGTCTATAATCCATCAGATATAGGTTGTATTAGCTGTTAACAATTATTTCTTTAGTTATTGTGTACATTTGTATCGTAAGTGTAACATTTAAAGAACAGAAAATAAAAAATTGTGAACAGGTATTGCGTGCAAGAGCAAAAATTTCACGAAAGATGCGACAGCAGTTGCCAGAGGAAAAAAAAGTCAGGGATCGATCGTAAATGTTCCTACTGTCGTTTACATGTGCCCCGCCTACTTTTATTGCGTGTCACGTGTTACACATAATAATACACGTGAAAAAACCAAAGCTGTACTACATATTGAAAATAAAAAAATAAAGCATCAATTGAGCACAAGAAGGTTTACGTTGTACTATATTCGAAACTAGCAGAATATTTCATTCACTAGGAGTGTGCGGGCCGTCCAATGTATCGGGCACCCGACCGTCGGGTCGGGCCGGAAAAAGTCGGGCGGGCTCGGGCGGGTACCCGACATTCGTACACTCGGGTAGCCCAACTTTTTCGGGTAACCCGACTCTTTCAGGTTAGGTCGGAAAAAGTCGGGCTCGAGCGAGATCCCGCGGCTTGCAATGCATCCAGTAACTATTCCTTTCTATGTGTATATTTAGTACTGTAATATTAAAAAATTAATTTGTTACCAGAATGCATTTTCCAATTCTGATAAAGTAAAAATTCAACTCATATACTTTATATAAAATGAATATACAGCTTATACACATGGGATGAAGTTCACTCCAAATAAATCTGTTAGAAATATTTTTTCACATAAAAATTATCTTATTCCAAACTTCCATATAGACAAAGATTTTGCATATGCTTGTTGAATACAAGAGCTTAAGGTCGCCTAAAAGAGCTGAGTATCAAAGTCTGCATTATGAACGTAATACAATCAATTCCAAACACATCTCAAATCGAATCACGGGAATCGCGGGCCGCGGGATATCGTTCGAGTCCGACTTTTTCCGACCTAACCCGAAAGAGTTGGGCTACCTGAGAAAGTCAGGTTACCCGAAAAAATCGAGCTACCCGAAGCAGTCGGGCTACCCAAGTGTACGAATGTGTCAGGTACCCGCCCGAGCCAGACATACCGGGTACTCGGCACATCTCTATCATTCACGCATAAAGGTACAATAGGGGAAATAAAGTTAGTAAATAATGTCAGTTTTGCAAGACCTATATTTTGTCTGTTTACGTTTGAGCCGGCTGCCATAAAAGTTATCAACGAATAAACTCATTTAATGTCCACCCACGCACTGGCATGCTGCAATATTATTCATTTAAAAAATACGCATTCACTTACGTCTGATTGAGGTACTGTAGAGTCACATTGATGATCTCACCAACGATCTCAGCTTCGGTTACATTATATGAGCTCACAGAAACAGGCAGCTGATCGTGCGGATTCACCCTGGCGACGAATTCTGAGAAAAAACGGCTGTACGCTCCAAGATAATCACCGTCAGTACAATCTTCCGCCATTTTTTCTCGTCTCCGTAAAAAAATCCAAGTAACCGGCACACAGTTTTGTCAGCACAAAGAGCACAATACTTCAATAACTTTAACCGTTTACGAGATGTTAACACGATACCTTAGTAGTTATTTCTTAGCAAGTACAATTAGCACACGCGGATATCTAAGAATGGAAGAAAGGGAAATAAAGTAAAAGTGTGTGCGTATTTCGTTTCTGCTGCTTCTTTAAGACAGCGATACTCTGGTCAACCTATTCGTTGATAGGCAATATTTGTATTTAGGTTACGTCACTCATTCAGCATCGCGTACGCACGTAACACTACAGGCCCGATCGAACAACGCGTTTCTCTATTGTGCGTCCCCCTAAGAAGTGGGGAGGATTTGCCGCGTCGTTTAAAACACTATCTCTCCCGCTTCTTTGAGTCCAGCGTTGCTTTTTGCCTTTCCTTTTGCCACTGGCCACTTGCGGATTGACTCTCGTAACGGAAGAAAAAGTGCGTAACGGAATTCACCGAGTGACGTACTGCGCATGTCCGACATAGGGCTCTATGTGCGCTGCTTTTGTGGCGTCGTTGTTGAGGAATAGTAAATTTTTTAGTTGTAGAGGTCGCCACACTTTGCCAGTTTATGCTACTTTACTTTTTATTTGTTGTGCGTAATTATTATTTTTTTACAAACTTATACCAGTCTGTGAGTATACTTATGATTTCAATGCTTCTTTTGAAATTTCTTACGTCTATTACTCATTTTACATTTTTTCTATACGTTTCAAATTCGTATAGAAAATATTAATCTTACATACGTTTAGTGACAGGTTATTAAAATTATTACTGTTATTTTCAGTGAGATATTAATAATTAATTAACAAGATAGCCGCCATTACAAACTATTGTAATCTTCTAATTGTCAGTAATTTATACGCAAACGGAAATAAAATAAATAACAACAATAAATATGCTCTTTCTTTCATTCATAAAGTGTAATTTCCTGAAAGCTGTTATTTCTGGTACATAACCAGTCTTTACGTTTTTTTATATTGAGAATAGGTTTCATATA